ACTTACTGCAAAGAAAAGCAACGAACTCACAAACTCCCTTCAGGAGACAGCAGAGAAAGCCAGTCACTGGATCTGGTTGAAGCGAGAGGACGCAAGCTGGAATGAATCCTAAAGTTGACAGCAGAGGAAAACAGCCGAACTAGCGTGGAGACCTCACATCGGTGAGGGGGCTCGATGTGTCAGAAAAGCTGTAGAAAGAAAGAGCCCGAAACAGCGACGCATTCTCTCCTGATGATCTCCATGCTAGAGTCCGGGATACGGAGCGTTCGGCTGTGAGCAATGCATACGGCTGTTTAGACTACGTAAAGAGGAATATATCAAGGGGGGAGCGGGGAGATTCCGTTAAGACAGGTTTCCGTTTTATACAGGTTTCCGGGCAGGTTCGACTGTACTTGTAACACGTCGAGTTCATTTTATCTTGCATACAGAATCTATGTTATAGACCTCGTCATAATAGACCTAGGCCTACCTTGAAAACGCCAGAACAGTCAACCTGTCCCTGTCCCTGTCTGTGTCGGCAGGCAATAATTATAATAATACGTGTCTATGTTGGCCTATGGGTGATGCAGGCCATGGAATTAGAAATAAAGTACTTTAATTAAGGCCCTTTTTTTTCTTCTATTACTATTGTAAAACAGATGGTGCGGCGGCGGAGCAGTAAGTGCGCTCGTCTCCGAAGCGGAAAGTCCGGGTTGGAGCCTCGGTTCGGACACGGATTTTTTTCGCCCCCCTGCCCACCCGCCACCCAGCAGTTGGCCCAATGGCTGACTTCGAGTTGGGCAAGTAAAGGCGGCGTGGAGAGGAAGGGCCATCCTACCACAATATGCCGAAGGCCCAGGAAGTTGTCTCACTAACAAGACAATCCCTGATGTTCGGATCAAATTAAAATCATTTTTTAATTGTATTATTATTATTATGTACAAATATAGTTGGCTATTATTATGATTTTGTATTTGAATACCTTTCATAACGAAAAGACGAACGACTTCCTGTACACCATCAAGATGGCGGCCCTCGTAAGTAACGGACGAAGAAGTCAAATGAAAAGTCAAAGTATTGTTTCACCATTCTATGCCATATTTCTAGCAATCATGGACATATTTCTGTCTTGTTGTAATATATTCACCTTTTGTACTTAGATAGTGGGTTTTAAATATGGATCTAGAATCTATAGGCTTCAGTATACAAGGGCGAAGTCCGAAGTGTATGGACTCTCTTCTACTTCTACACTACACTACAACACACACAGACCCGGGGCCGGGGTCGTAACCGGGAACAAAGTCACGAAGTAAACACACCATGTAGGGTAAATCTTTTGTGATTTTTGAAAATTTCAGCGCCCAGTCAGACCCGGTAGAGTGTGTGTGTGAGAGAGAGAGAGAGAGAAGAAGAGGTGGGGGTAGAGAACCTGGGGAAGTTGAAGTTGAAGTGCCAGCAAATAATTATCGGCCACCTCTAGAATAGTGCAGGCGAGTCTTTTGGCTATTCTCACCCGGTGCGCGTTCACCGTTATAGCCTAGATCTAGGCCAACAAATTTTGCGTTCACCCTAAACCACAGAATTCTACACTGTGATAACAGAAAAATTGTAGAATTCTGGGCGCTTTTTCGGTAGTTCCCACCCCGCATTTGTTATTCGCCGGTTTTGGCCCCAAGCCAAGAGTAGGGGGGTTTCAGGGGGGCTTGCCCCCCTGACCGAATAAAAACAAGGTGGGGGGTTTCAGGGGGGCATGCCCCCCTGAATTTTACCACAATTTAATGTTTTGCAGTTGTTAGGTTTGACATCTTAGCTTGCCGCGAATCAAACGTATATAGATCTAGATGTAGGTCAGGCTCTATCAAATAAGGGGGGTGGGAACTACCGAAAAAGCGCCGAATTCTGTGCCGTGAACAAACGTTCCGTTACAACTGTAGCCTACTAAAAGCGACATGCGATTAAAAGTAGAAATGATGCAAACTATTTTTAGGTAAGGCGCCCATCTTGTTTGACGTCAGACCAGGATACCCCTCCGATCACGTGACTACATCTAAGTATAGACAACCGCACGGCACCAAAGATGGAAGTGTCTATGTATATATTATGCTTAATCTACACCATTTTCTCGGAAGTTCTGATAGCTGATTTGATATAGCGCGTCTGCGTTTGATGTCGAGCAATGACTTTTGGAGCGGTTCGATTCCGGTCCCGGACAGTTTTTTTTTTCTCTTTTCCTCCTCCCGACTGACCAACAGTTCCATAAATTATAGGCCTAATTTGTAGAGTTGCTTTGACTTTGAAGTTGTTGTTTATTTTTAAAAATGTATTAGTGATTAAACATGCAGGAGGGGGGGGGGGGTGGTAGATCTAAATTTAGATATCTAGATCTAGATCTAGAACTAGATATTATCTAGTCCTCCTGCGTCTTTACGGCAATTTTCGTGCGGTCTTCCATCATGTCCAGGTAGGCCTAATAGATCTAGATCTAGATCTAATCTAGAATCTAGATCTAGATTCTAGATCTAGGCTAGAAAATCCGAAATGTTACCGAAAACACGTCGTTCCATGTGGGTATCCCAGGAAGTGATGACATCACATTACTAAAATTAGCAGCCAATCAGAAAGATGCGTCATTTCTAAGTTTAACGGCATGTCTAAAAGCGTACAATTTTGTCTGTGGGCAGTGGAGAGAGAGAGAGAGAAAGAGAGAGAGGAGTAGCGCGAGAACTTCCGGGCAAAACAAAATGGCGACCCGCGTAGTTCGGCTCGATTCGAAAAGTTAAATAGCCGTAGCATCTTTGTAGACAACCAAATTAATTTACTTTTGTGTTTTAACATCATTTTTTAACTTTGTTTTGGTCAATTTGATCGTCCACACCGATAGACAGTATTCAGAAAGAGACAGAGAGAGAGAGAAGAGGGGAGGAGTAGATCTTGCGAGAACTTCCGGGCGGGTGAGAATAGCCACTTTCATAATTATCACTGGACTACTGGACCACAGTGATTGTGTTGTGATTATTCTCACCCGGGGTGAAGATAAAGGAAGTGGCTATCCTCACCCGGAGTGAGAATAAAAATGCGATCGACCTGTCACCCCGGGTGAGACTTGCCAGCATTGGCTATTCTCACCCGGTGTGAAACAAGGCCTGTTTTTACTAATTTCGGAATATTGTCTCTCGGTGTGGATGATCAAATTGACAAAAGCAAAGAAAAATGACGTTATAGCCCAAAAGTAAGCTAATTTGGTCGTCTATAAAGATGCTACGGCTATTTAATTTTTTGAATCGAGCCGAACTACGGGGGTCGCCATTTTGTTTTGCACGAAAGTTCTCGCAAGATCTACTCCTCCCCTCTCTCCCTCTCTCTGTCTCTTTCTGAATACAGGAGGAGTCTATCGGTGTGGACGATCAAATTGACCAAAACAAAGTTAAAAAATGATATTAAAATACAAAAGTAAATAAATTTAGTCGTCTTCAAAGATGCTATGGCTATGTAACTTTTCGAATCGAGCTGAACTACGCGGGTCGCCATTTTGTTTTGCCCAGAAGTTCTCGCGCTACTCCTCTCTCTCTCTCTCTCCCTCTCTCTCTCCACTGCCCACAGACAAAATTGCAAGCTTTTAGATTTTAGGCTAACAGTAGTAACACTAGAGCGCTGGAACGTTTGTTCACGGCACAGAAATCTACAATTCTGTTATCACAGTGTAGAATTTTGGGGTTCAGGGTGAACGCTACACTGGTTAGCCTAGGCTATAAAGGTGAACGCACACCAGGTGAGAATAGCCAAAAGGCTTGCCCGCACTATTCTCACCCGGGGTGAGAATAGAGGTGGCCGAGGATAAACTGATATATTATTCTCACCCTGTGTGAGAATAAAATTGATAGGCCTACTATTCTCTCCCCGGGTGAGAATAACGACAGCCTAATGTATTCTCACCCGTTTTTTTCATTTCCACCCTTTTTATTTTGTTTCGGTCATCTTAGTATGATCATAGGACCCCTGTCACTGAACGCTCCAGGCGACAAAATTAGCCTCCCTCTCTCACTCTGCTGAGCGCGTGAGGCAACTAAAATTGCCAGCTCTCGAGCGCGGGAGGCGACTATTGTCAATTTGAGGGAAAACCTTATCTTTTTCATGTTACCAGCAAATAGAAATAACATTTTCCAACTAAAAGATTGACTTAGGTCAATGACCAGCCTTCTTCTTCAGGTATCACAAATGCCTCTGACCAATGCCTTTAGATGAAAAATTTCACTCTCATATAAAAGTTAGGGAGATTTTGAAGAAGAAAAAAATGACAATGGCCATGCAGTTGCCTCTCTCTCTCTCTCTCTCTATCAGTGTCTAATGCTTCTTTTGATCTTTATGTTTTTATTAGATTTAACAAAAGTTCTTTGTTCCTTTGTAGTTTTTGTTTGTCTCTCAATCACTGTAGTGACATAAATTGCTTTTTTTTTCAGTCGCGGAAAGCTTTAAAGTATGTGGCAGTGTTGGGCACAGTGCCCGCTGTGGGAATTGCCGTGGGCTACAGAATGAGAGCGGTCCAAGCCTCTGAGAACAAGAGTGAAGAAAGCCGCGTTGTCAGAGCCTGTGATGTGAGTAGCAGGCCAGGTCTCACTATAATGGATATGTTAATATTTAATGTAGGATGGATATATTATATAACAAATAAGCAGCTCTTGATTAACTTTTGAGTAATTATTGCTTGTGTGATGTTGTTAACCCCTTGAAGTCTTGCCCTTACCTTTTATGTCTAATAGAGTCTAGGATTACAAAAACAAAGTCAAGGATGGTGGATAGATTTTAGTATTGATAGGGAACTTAAAGGGCAAGGTCTGAGATTGCTCCCCTCTTGTGATGAATGTTCTTGTTGGTTCATGTACGTATTTGCTCTTGAGTATGTTGGTGTGGATTGACCTTTGTTATATTGTACAGATATTTTGATTTAAATCTGTTCTTAAGTTAACATATTACATGCTTTATTATGTTGAGACAAGACAAAGACACTGCTTTTCAAACCCACATAGTATTTATGTGGTATTTGGCTGACAGTATGCCATAATGTCGTAAGTTACTCCTAATTATAGCTACTTAGAAATTTCAGACTTTTTTTTTTGCTTGTCTTTGACATCAAAGAAGTAACTGAAGAAATGAGATAGCTCTTAATAAAACTTCTCACAACACATGTAGAATTGTTTAAAGATGTAGCAATTTGGTGTGATAGCATACAGTTATTTTGTGATGTAGTGATTTGTGAAATTTTCCCTTCATGCATGTCATTGTAACTTAAAGTTTTTGTTTAGTTTTTCTAGCTTTTCTTTTTTCATCTTTGTTCCTTTCTCTTATCTATCCCCTAATATTATAACATTTTTTTCTCTTTGTAGTTACCACTGTACCAGACTTCAAAAGAGAATTTCCAGATGGCAGAGAGGGAGCCATACCCACAGAACTTTGTAGAGGAACAGATTGGTGTAGTTCGCAAGGCAGTCATGAGTTTTGCTGGAGGTTTTCAGGTGAGTGATGGTAGAGTACTGATGTTTTGCATCTGCTTTCTGGTGCGTGGGGACAAAGGTTTTACACTTTGCACACTGTGAGGGAGAGAAATGTGAATGCAGATGTGGATTCAGTGATGAATCATTAACACTGTTTCTGATTTGTTTGCATTTGAGGAATTTTTAAATTGCAAGTCTTCGTTGTTTAGTTCTCTTCTCGGAGGGTGAACCCCAGTGTTTGTTAAGACATCTACATTTTGTTTCAAATTTGCAAATAAAAACATATCGGCACTGTGCTGCGTTATTTCTTCTTTCAGATTTATTTATTAAACTAGGTTAGAATGACGTCAATTAAACTGTTGAGAATTTCTTGAAAAAAAAAGAAGTCAAATTAGATAGTACATTAAAAAGCCCATGTGGGCTGCTTTCTGATAAAACCAAGTTGGAAGAGATAGATGCAATTTTTGGGACTCTTGAATGGACATAAGGGCCTTGAACATCTTGCTCTTACTGGTAAAATTGACGGCAGACAAGGCAGAGGTAGCCCCAGAGCAACTTACTTTTAAAACCTTAAAGATCTTTTTAAATTTGTAAAAATGATCTGATCTGGTTTTTAGCTTTGTTCATGATTTGGAAAGCAAGATCTGAATAAAATAAATCCTTAGCTTACATCAGTTTCAAATTTTGGGTTTGGACTACCTAATATAGCGGATGACTTGTGTGGAAAGTCTTTGCTTTTATGAAAAGCGCAGAAGAGAATCTCAGAGAGTAAATTGATGCTCAGTAGAGATAAAATTGTTAGATGGTTGGTTTTGCTGCCATGAAAATATAATTTCTTGGTCAGAGAAAGCATGAATCTGTTCTGCATCATTTTATGTATTCATGCCTTCTTGTTGCAATGTGTCAGAGATGATTGGGTTTGTTTTGTTTTTTAGTTGACTCTGCCTTTGGCCCCTTCCAGGAGACTTGTAACAATGGCTAAGGAATAGGCTAACTTATTGTAATTTTTGTAATGAGTTAGTTATCATATCGACTTGTTTTGTTTTTCCCTTTTTTTTTCAGGAAACTTATGAGAGTGTAGAGTCAATAGCCATCACTGGAGTTGAACATACCAAATGTGAGTAATCTTTGCTTTTTGTTTTGCTGCCTAACTCAATACCACCTTCATTTCTCGTCATCACCCATTACCCTAAGCCAGCTGTGTACCATAATCTCACATTATGGGTCCTTAGTAGTTTCACTTTCACAACTGGCCACTGTTGATATTTTCCCATAACCAAGATAACTAAGTACAGTCGAACCTGTGTAGGACGGCCTCCCATTGTCAAGGAGAAAAGTGGCCATATAAGACAAGTGGCCGTCTTAGGCAGGACTGATCAAGATGAAGAAAACAAACCATTCCCTTCTGAGGTCCCAACCAAAGGTTGCAGCATTGTTGTTGTTGTTGTTTTCGTGCAAGGATGACAATAAAACGAAATGTGTCAGACGAGTAAGTCTATGAGTGCAATGTTAAAACAAACACATGGGTCGCCACCACTCGACCCGGAGAATGAGCAACACTTCTGTCGCAAGTTCTCGTTGATGTGCATTGTTACTTTGTTACTGACTGGGTAAACAATGACGACTCATCTCATGATTTGTGTATGAGTTCTGGGTGGGGCTTATGGGTTATGAGGGATCACACAGTTACCTCACCAGCAGCTGAAAATTTGTTACCTATTGGTCAACTGTGGGAGGGGCCAACGCAACATGATCGGTTGGAGGAAACTACCTAACACACAACGACAGGTGATTGGATTATGATGGCTCGCCCACAACGCCAGGGGCCAGTGCATGATTTATGACAAAACGTAATAGAGTCACTAAGGTGGCCGTCTAAGACAGGTGTTTTTGTTTGGTGTTATAGGGCTTGTGTGTTGCAATATAGTGGCCTCGGCGGACAGGTGACCGTTTTACACAGTGAAATTATATAGTAAAAATGCAAGGGGGAAATGGAAAGCGGCCATTTGTACAGGTGGCCATCTTATAGAGGTGGCCGTCATGGCAGGTTCGACTGTATACACGAAATTCTGTTCTGCAAATGTCGTCTAGGTTACTTTTGGTTTGTCGAGATCTTCTTTATTTATTTTTTTTTTCAATTGAGTTACAAGGAGAAAGCAAGCAGAGATTGTTTTTTTTCCACCAATTTCTTGAACTTTCTCCACATGGAACTTGGATCTAAATAGTAAAATACTTGTCCTTGATTGCAATGTATATATGGTTGTCATTTCATCTAGGGAGAGCTTGAAATAAATGAGAAACCAGTGCCTGGAGTAGTCAGAACAGGGCAGTGATCATTGGTGAAGATTTAGATAACTGTTCCAGGAATTTTGAAGGTGAGATTTGGAGATGATCAAATGATTGAACCGATACTTTTTATGGTAAGAAGGTTTAAGATATGGTACCTTTGTGCAATGGTTTTACTGTGGCCAACAAGTCTCCTGTCTTCTGTCTTTGCTGTTTCCCTTTCTGTAATGGACGTACTATTACCGAAAATTCCTGTGTGTTCTGTTGTTGTCAGCGAGTTTGGACTATGTGCAGAACAACCCTGGTGAGCTGCCCCGTGTTATCTTCATCGCTCTGGCCGGCATGGGAGGCATTGTTCTTGGATACAGAGGTAAGAACACAGTGTTGACACGATGTCTACTTGTACCATAAGTCTGGTCAGGCTGCAAAACTATCTTCATTTTTCTATTTTTCTCCAACATTTGTTTAATTTTTAGAACATGAGCCTGCATTCATGCCTCTATGTGTATTTAACCCGTTCAGGACTTCTGGTTACTCAGTGAAATATGGCCTCAGAGAATTAAATCTGTTTTTGTTTTTTTCACATAGTATAAATCTTTAAAAAGTTACTGAAAATAACCCAGAGCACCTTTACTGAAAAGAATGATACCAATATGTACATAGATGAATAAAATTATATCATCAAATGAGCAATATTTGTTATCATGCTTACTGTTTTATGACCACACTTCTGCTGACAATCCATGCCTGGTATGCTTATGGCCACCCCCCCCCCCCCCACACACACACACTGTAGCTCTATGTGAGCAGGCCACTCATCTGACCACCAGTGCATGGCCAGAAAGGTGTTTTGCACACGTGTCCTCAACCCATGTGATGGTGTGATAGAAGGCTTCTGACTTGTCAAATAAGATGCTTGTGTTTCTCTGATAAGTTAATTGTAGTGTATTGTACATTGTATATTTTGCAGTAATAAGCTTGTAATGATCCATGGTGCAGGTGACTAACAGTTCCTTGGATTTTGAGATAAGATTCGATGCAGGAGAAAAATGCATGTAGCCCTGTCAATTGGGGCTGGTCACTGTGCAAGTGACTTCATGGAGTCTTGAGTTTGTTCATTTGTAGTTCTGTTGAATACGAGGTATGGTTTTGGTGTTTATGAATATAAAAACCAGGGAAATCTCTCTTCTTTTGTTAGTTCAAGTTATTGAATCGGAGTTCATTGATTGAGTTTCACTGTATTATGTCAATGTGCTGCTACTGCTAAGGTCACCTTTTCTCTCGTTATCACTTTTCTAACATTTATAAGAGGAAATCATTCTCATTGCTCTATAAATTTGTGTTTGTTCTTGTAATATTTTTCCTTGCCTTTACATGAAAAATTAATTCCCATGTCTCTACACCACTTTGTTTGTTGTTATGTCTGATCAGGCGGCGTGGTACGAAAGTTCGTCTACAGCACAATAGCGGCAACTTCGACTGCGGCTTTGTGCTACCCCACAAAGACGATGGAGCTGAGCGACATAGTCACAGGGGAGATACGGGAGGCCTGGGAAAGCATGGCCGGACCCGCTAGCTGGCCGTTTGGTGAGTGAGGTTTCGTCGGTTGCTTGATGAAATCGTGAATACCATACGAAGCAAATTTTACAGGAGAGGGAAAAACTGATTTCCTCTGTCATTTGGCTTTCAAGACATAAACTAAATAGATAAATCTAGTCGAAATAATATTATAGTATTTTCTTTATCACGCGTGCTCATATGACCTTAGCAGTTGCGAGCGCCGTAAAACCTTATACTATACTATACTCCTTTCTTTATCATAGATGGTAATTTTTTCGAAAAAGTGTGGAATTTACGGTTTCATGAGGCGATTTTTGGGGCACAGTGTTTATTTGCAATTTTCTTATAACGTCAGATTACACGTTTGAGTTGAGATAATTGAAAAGTAGTTGTACATGGACATGTATCTCACTGGGCACTGTCAAAATATGCAGAAAAACGATTTTCGAAAATTTGTGGAATTCACGGTTTATCAGATGACCGATTGTTTGCCGAGCAATTTTTGTATAAATATCTAACTGTAAGCTAAAGGTTTGTCCATAGAACGGAATTAAACTCTTTGCTTTTTGGCTTTCATTGACGGTACCTGTCGTAACAATTCAGGGAGTCTTTCCAATGTGGTATTGTGCAAAAAAATAAAGACAAAGTATTATGGAGGCTGCTGTTGGAATGGGAAAAAAAGTCTTAAATCTTTGTTGTGCTGCATGATGAATTTCTTCATAGTTTTAAGGGAAACATTTTCATAGATTTTGGGCTCAGCAAAAGTGAATCTAGTGTCTGTGTTGGGGGTAATACATACTGCAGAACTTGGTTATGTAAAAAAATGATTTTTTGCTTCCATTAATAAGTGATACTTCCTCTCTCTCTCTCTCTCCCTCACTTCTGTCTCTCACACACACACTCTCTATTTTTCTCTCTGTCTCTGTCTCTGTCTCTCTGTCTCTCTCTCTCTCTCTGTGGATTTTACCCACCTATCTCATTCACTCTCTCCATTTCCGCTTTCCCTCCTTCCTTTCCTCTTTCCCTCTCCAAGAACTTCCTTAGTGATGACAAGTCAAACCATGTCAGGCTGAAAATCTGCAAGTTGTCTCCTTTTGACTATTATTGAGTTGGTTTTCACCTCACATCCCTATTTGATATTGAAAACATAAGTTTTGAACATGCTCCTCTTTTTTTTAACTTTTCAGGAGAGAGTAAGGAGGCACCGAAACCGGTAAGTGTTCTGGGTTGTGTTCTTGTCCTCATGACCTCTGTCAATTTGTCGGCATGTCTTTGTGTGTTGTGTTGTCTGTATTTGTTCTTTTGTTTGTGTGCCATGCATTGTCTGTCAGTGTACCTTGTTTTGACAGGCGGAGTGCTTACCAGAATAACTTCCGATGACACACTCCCTTTTTAGCAAAATCATAGACTTTAGATATGTGGCCTGAAGGTTTGAACACAAAGCTCACTTTGTGCACGCCAAGGACGTGACTTGTTCAGTAGCCACAAAATGTGGTGCGGAGAAAGTGAATAGTTCTGTTCATTAGTTTGTCCTACAAGGCTAAAGGATCATGTACCTGAGTTCCATGTTATACAATTGGGGGAAAAGGCACATAATAACAAAAATAAAAATGCCTGTTACTCTGAACTACTCTTCTGCAGATACTCTAGATTGCTTTTTGTTTTTAGTGTTATCAGAGTTTTGAGAGATCTTTCAGTTGCTGGTCCTTTAAGTTCCAACAATTTTGAGTTGACTAAATTAGTAGGCTTACTTACCTGATTTTCTGGGTAATTTTTAAAAACTTATTCGTCCTTTTTGAAAGCAAAAATCTAGTTATATAGTTAGAAAGGTTGTTGGAGGTTGAGTGTTTGTTCAGGCTGCTGTGTACTGTTGCCACCAAGACTTAGACCGGTGGTTCTTAACCTTGCAGGAGGTAGCTTTCTGAACCTCGCAAGTTTCTTACGTGCATTTACCAAAGCCTTCAAGTGGGGTGAATGAAATGTTGACACACACAGTGTGTGTCTTGACCTCTGCCGAATCACAGAGACTGACTGACCAAACCCTTTCGGTTCAATCGAACACAGGTTAAGAACATCTGACTTAAAGTAGCAGACTGACAGACAGGCTGACTAGAATTTAACAAGTCTGATGGAAGGGAGTTTAATTGCTCATTGCAGTTGTTGTGCTTCAATGACTCTGTTTTAGGTGGAAGGTTGTTGGGTGCTAAGGTGATGTTTAATGGACCGTTGGAGAGTGCCTCTAGCAGGTCCTATTTCCCCATTTTCACCGTTTTCTTTTTTCTCAAATACATGATGTGGGTGGTTGGCGGGTGCTCTGGTGTGGTTTGCTTCTTCTTTCCTATCAAATATCTGTCGTCCTTATCTCCCTTTCTTCTTTTTTGAGTTTGTTACTCTCTTGTAACACCTCTAATCTTCTGACGCTCATATGACCATGCAGTTGCGAGCGCCGTAAAACCTCTACTAAAACAAACAAACAAAATACAAGATGAGGTTATTTATTTTATTTCTTTTATTTCTACTCTCAGTTACAAGTCGTGGAAGGCCACCATTGGTTGATCCTTTTTCTTTTCTTTGTCTTGCTGTTTCTCTCTGTGTGTCTTGCTTTTGCTCAGCACTAGCACAACACAACAAGTGTCATGACATTTTGTTGTTGCTTGTAATGGTGATTGCAGGGTGCCACTGGTAGGTCTCACTTCTTTACTTTCCATTTGTTGTTTCTGTGTCTCTATTTCTGTTTTTCCCTGCTCTTAAGGGCCATAATTGCATTGATTTATTTCTCCTACTCATACCAAACAGAATTAATGGGTGGTTGGCTGGTACTCTGTTGTGGTTTGCAATTTCCTTTATATCAATCATCTATCGTCCTTATCTCTCCTCTTTTTATTGTATGTTACTATCTAGTAACACCTCATATTTTTGGCATTTACATGACCTTATTGTGTTGCAAGTGCCGTTAAACTCTTACTAAAACTTAAAATAATAACATAATTACTCAATCTACTGTTCTTTATGTCATCAACCAGGAAAGTCAGGAGCGTGAAGGCGACTCTGCTCCTTCTCTTCTAGCTAGCGACATGGCTGAGGAGACTCCGGCTGTGCAGCAGCTGAAGGGCGACCCGGGCCAGTCAAACCCCAATGACAAAGACATGTACAGCACGCGTTCCTCGTGAGCACGTCTGGAGGTGTGCCTGTGTGTGGCTGTAGGATGCGCGCTCTCCCCCCCCCCCCCCAACCCAGACCCTCCAATATGTGATTATCAAGATACTTGTCGCGTTGTAGTTCTGTCTATCTGGATTAAGAGGTTTATGCACTTTTGTAAATATATGTAATGCATATTATATATGTATGAAAAATGTTGAAGGAGGAGTTCGAATGCTATTCTAAATGTTCGGCCTATGTGGGTCTTTCACTTGTTTTCCTTATCAATTAAAAAAAAATGAATTTGGAATTGATCTTTTAGCATCACTTTTTGAGTCGAAGAAATATCTAGTTTTTAGCAGTCGACCGTGAAGGTAGAGACGGTTGTGTGCCTATTGTTTTGTTAACGGTTCAATAAACTTTGTACTGATTCCAAAGTGAATGTAGCTGTGATGTGTATTTTATGGTACTTAACTCAAGTTCTAGAAACATGTTGAGTATGTCAGATTGAAATTCTTTCTGAGTTGAAAGGTATCAGGGGCAGCCACAAGAGCTGCTTTGAACAGAGTCTGCGGAATATTGTACATCACTGATAACCTGGAGTGGGGCTGGTTTGTTGCTTTGTATGACCAAGTCTGTCACTTTGATGGATTTGTCAGGCAAAGGCTACCCAGTCACTGTGTCAGTAAGAATAAACTCCAAAATTTGAGAACTCTTTTTCTTTCTTAAGAACTGCAAATTCTTTTGCGAAAAATAGTTCAGATGTTGTTTTAAAAGATGGACAGTGTTGAATGTGATCTTGCCCTTCAAGTTTTTAAGCTGAATTGTATAATACACTGCTGTTTCAGGTTTTTTGAAAATGTTAAACAAAGAAAGATGAAACCAGATGAAAGTGAGACAAACAACTGTTTTGATGTTTGTTGTGGGAATAGAAGGAACCTCTGTTAATCGTGTTTCTGTGGTGAGTTTTTCATAAACCTGTCATTCGTCATGGCCGTGAACGCAACCATTCCTGTGTTGTGTAATTTCGTCATGTGGAGAACTCCCATGGTTCCTTTCCCCTTCTACACAGCGTTTGGCAGAAGTTCACATTCATCACTGTCACAACCATCAGAAAGTGCTAGATTTTATACCAGTCTGGCTCCTCTTGCCTTTGTAGAATGTTCTGAATAAAGTGGACCCCAAAGTCATCCATGGCAAAGGCATACAGCACAGTGTTGTCGTTTATCTTAGTCTCTGTCCCATGTCATTTTATCTCGGTCTGTTGTCGTTTTATGTTGGTCTGTTGTTTGAAGATTACTGTACTTTCTTCTTTGGGGGTCTGGGAGAGGAAGGGGGGGGGGGGGGGGGGGGGGCGTAGTTGCACTGCTTCTGCCCAGATGCATCATCATCACCTCAGATGGTGTCATGCTTGACTGCACTGCAGTTGACCCTGATTTGAATCCCCTCAATGAATCTTATTTTTAACTTTGGTTGTTTAGAGACTTGTCAAAACTTTCCTCTCATTTAGCTAAATCCTATCGGAGATAGGCAGTAAATTCATTGGTCCGACCACTTAGATTATAACATTTCAATGTGAAAGGGGCTTACATCCCTCTTCGTATCATTCTATTGCTTCATTCTCATACCTACATCAAAGGGTGGTTGGATGGTGCTACTGGTACTACCGGTAGATCCTACTTCTTTACTTCCTCTGTTGTTTCTGTCTGTATTGCCTTGTCCCAGCACTAAATGACCATTATTGTGTTGATGTGCATCTCTTCATTCAAACAAGCAAACATATCTACACCACCCCCGTACTTTCTGTTGTACATTGTACGTTGCTTCCCCTCACAATGAGGTGATGGTCATCATGTCGGTGGCCTTCCATCAGAATGGCTGTTGACTAGTAGGTCAGTTGGTCACATGATCTTGATACGTGTATACAGTATACACTAGGGCACAGGTAACTCGAACATGTTTAGGATTTACACATGTATTCAACACATCCACGGTTCTTGTTAACCATTATAATGAAAGATTAAAAAGATCTTAGTCAGAGAAATGGCAAATTGTACGAGCCTTCCTTGATTTCAAGTTTTCCGTGTTCATGGTATCTGTGCCCCACTGTATAAAAATGGCGTGCCAAGTCTCATCTTATTTTCCCAAGAGTTTTCTGTGGTGTGGTCTCTCTTGTAACCCTTCCATTGTCTGGCCGTGAGACGGTTTTCAGCTCTTTTGTAGGATTAGAGAGTAGGCGTGGCAGTGAAGTGGTTAAAGAACATCTTTTGTGTTCATTTGTTGGCCATCTTGGACACAAATAGATTTGTTGAAAGGCATAAAAAGAATATATTCTGAAACGTAAACTATTCTTATTTTAAAAAACCCTATTAGATTGAGCTTCAGCTTCTTTAAGTTTGCGCAAATTTCAAATTTGTTAATTGTTTATGTTAAATGCGTCCATCAACACAATTGAGATATTTTAGAATGCTGGTTGCTTCCATCCTGTCACGGTCAACCCGGGCTTCGTAGGATACAGTGTCCCAGCACAAAGATGGATATATTATATATATACTCCAGGAAATAATTTTCCACTTAGAAATAAAACTCATGTCTTCTATGTGGAAAAGAGAAGAGCCTAACCTTATGCAGTGGAACTCTGATTCAACTTCAACTGTCAACGAAAACTCTGGTTCAAGGAAAGGAAATGGATTCCACATATTTTAAAAGTTAATCAAATTCAAAGAAAATAACTCGGGCTCAACGAACACAAAAAATCATGAATAAGCAAGCTTGGATTCAACAAAATCACTTGCAGGGTGAACAACTCCATCTGACGTGGCTTGGCTCATTTTGCTCCCACAGGGAACTTTATCTATTCCAGGAAACCATCTATAGCATCTGCACCGTGAACCATAAATCGCTTAGCCTAGACCTATCGTTTATACACTGTATATTATGCGACCATCTTTCATACCAACTCACGTGTGATGTGTGATTGTAGCCTATTAATTACTATAAGAGTGCGTGTGTCTGGGGGGGGGGGGCGCCACAAGCGGTCCAGGTGTGGAACATTGGTAATCAGTAGAGATACACACTCCTCACAGTGGGTGATTGGTGGGTGCTCTGGTGTGGTTTGCTCCTTCTTTCCTATCAAACATCTATCGTCCTTATCTCCCCTTCTTCTTTTTTATGTTTGTTACTCTCTTGTAACTTTGTAACACCTCTAATCTTCTGGCGCTCATATGACCTTATGCAGTTACGAGCGCTGTAAAACATCTACTAAAACTAAAAAAGAACTCAAAGTCATTTTTTTCCCTGGCTATTGATTATTGATCTATATTAGGCCTACAATGATAAGCTAGTCTTGACATAGATCTACGTAATGAATTGCACGCTGGTCAAATCTTTAAAAAGTAGATGTGATCCAGATTTGTACCTAGGTTTCTCATTCAAAGGGCAGTGCATGACTAGTTTGACGGCTGCGGCTGAGACAAATATCGTATGCTGTTTCTGCTCCCACATAACACATAATATCACTAGAGATCGTCTTCAAGAGTTCTAAAATCAAAGCTAATCCTCTTTCTTTCTAATAAAACATCTATCGAACTTATCTCTCCTCCCCCTTTCCTTTGTATGTAACTCTCTAGCTACACCTCTATTCTTCTGCACTTATATTATGATCTATTTGTGTTGATAGTGCTGTAAAACCATGTCTAAGACTAAACTAAAAGTAGGTAACCCAACAGCACACTAGTAACCAAAGGAAAACAAAAATGTTTGTCTTCTGCTGGAATGTAATCTTAAGGGTTTCACATCTCTTTCAACAATGTAAGGTTATTTAAGAGGCGGGACCTTTGAATTAAATGTCCATCTCAGATATGTCTGAGCCAGGTGGGTGGAGGGCCTTGGAAACTCTCAAATAAGCCGACACCAACTTAAAAAATGCCCCACTCGGGATTTGAACCCATACCATCTGCATCATAGTCCTATGTGTTGCCAAAAGGGCTAATGGCGCCCCTGCTCCCAATATGCTTTTCCAGAGATTATAAGAGACACCAACATCAAGGTTGAAACAAGTCAATGATTAAAAAACCAATTTATTATTTTAAAGTTCATTATTATATAATAACAATGGTCAACTCCACAGAGTACTATGTTAAATTTAAGAACTTTAAGTAGCTCACAGAATGGTAAATGTCATAGAACATAGAAGGAGACTTTTGAAAGCACAAAAATTACATATTTCCACAGCTAATGCTGATAAATAAGATCATACTGATGGCAATGTCGTATAGACTACAATAAATGTTGTAAGAGAGTAAAAAACAATCACATAGTGGACGGAATGACACAAATATGGTAGCCAGCTAGAGGTCATAATACAAGAACATTACACAGATTGGCACAGTTTATGAACAAACAGGCCTTTACTACATCCCAACTGAACCCCCCAAAATTGCTACGAAAAATACTACAAAGTCCAAAAGAAACTGTAAACCACTATATTACAAAACTTTACCCTGCAAAATCCCATTGACACTGAAATAGAAACAATCATTATCTCACAGCTTTCTTGCCTTATTTGGATTAGAAATTATCTATGCAGGAATGCAGGTGACCACAAATAATTTAAGGGTAAATATTCACAACCATCAAAGCAAATCACATACAATAACTGACTCATGAAACAAACATATAATACATTGCCATGGTTACAAAGCAAAATGAACATTTTTGTTTTACTTTTCTTCACAAGGTGTGTAAAAATCAGACTTAATCATTGGTCACGTGACAGTGACAACATACAAGACTTACGTACAATTTCTGAGGACAAAATGAATTACAAATTACATATAAAAATAATAACTATAATGATTACATATTATGTGATAGCCCACTTAACAAGAGTTGCATTGAGGAATTAGGGTAAATTTGGCTGAACACAAATAAAATCCAAACTCATTTTTATGGCTTAAGGCTCATCATTGTTCCATAACATATTCTTTATTTACCAAGGATCAACATCTTTCCAATTATCAGTCTTGCTCTGAAATTCTCAAAATGTCTTTTTATGAAACTAAAATAGACTTGTGCTCAAATAGACATAAATCACTTTTTCATAATCTTTACCCATTTTCATTTTCAACTGCACAGTAAGCACCACATATCTTTTGTCATTTTGTGTCATCAGAACTGGATAATACACACATAAGTTGACAAGTATTATGTCCTTAGTCAATACTCTTGTTGCAGCTCTAAACAAATGTTTACACAACAAGCTTGAGTTTACATAAATATGAAATAATGGAAAAAAAACACACTCTGTAGGAAAGATAAAACTCAGATAGACCACACATTCTAGTCTCAGTTTTTTTCACAGCGCATGCAAGTTTTCATCAAAGTGCAGATTCAACACATTCTTCTGTTCTAGTTTGCACCACAAACTCACTCGTGCTAAGATGAAAAAAAAAAAAGGCCTTCCCTTGGACCAACAAGATCAAGCATGACCGAACGGTCAAACCTCATTACAAATACTGCCCTGTCTAGCAGCAGCAAAAATGCCGACATAAACGTATAGTAATCAGTCTTACATCAACTCACTGCCTATCCATGCTGCAAATGCTGTGCTCAAGACTGTGTCAACTACCTATCTTTACTGCAGCCCTTGCGGTTTCAAGTTCATAATTTATTTTATTGAGTTTTTATCGCAACTATATTTACGACTCTACATCAGTTAGTTGTTTCGTAGGGATAATTTAAAAGATACACATTTGAAATGGCGGGTACACAGGAGAGAGTAATGGGAAATGCAGCTGGTAGGCAGTGAGTTACAGATTCAAGTCAAGCAAGTTTGTCCATGATTAAATGAAGAATCGGGTTCAGCCAAACCCTTTTCCCCTGCCATCTGTCTTGTCTTGTATGTCTGTCTGTTGTCTCATACATTTTTACCCCCAAACAGTACAACCACTGTTGTGTCCATATATCATCCCTGTCATTCATCATAGTCGTAAGTCAAAATACTAGATTTTCAGTGTTCAGGATGAGCAAAAAAAACTATTGAACTTCAGGCAAAGTATTACTATGTTTTTAAAAAATGTTGAATCCATTTAAATCTATTTCTTTTTAAAAGAAAAATGAGACTATGATCAATCGATGTGAGTCATCAAACTGTAAAACATACATTTGATTTTCGAGTTTGAAAAAAAATATTGACAAACAAAAATGTTGAATGACAACAATGATATATATAACTCAGCTTCTTTTTCCTTCTGACTGAAAGGAAGAAGCTGGTAACTTAAATCAGTCTCAGAAAAGAAAAGAGACCGTAATTAGATATGCAATTCATATCGTATGAGACGAGTTGGGTCACCAAGAGATGTGTAAATTCTCTGTAAGATGTGCTGGGTCTCCGTGAGACCCATTGGTTCCCTACTGGACGCGTTGGGTCACTGGCACCTTTTGAGAAGGGCTGTTCGGGCCGAGACGAGAAGCTTGAAGGCCTCCTCACTGCCTGGAGCAACACTCTTGTCGGGGTGAAGTAGGACAGCCAGCCGTCGATATGCTTTGTTCACTTCGTCCCTGGTGGGAAGAGAGAAAAGTGTGAGGGAAGTTGGAACTGGTAGGTCTGTCTTTTTCTTTCCCTCTAATATTTTGTCCATTTTGTTTTTGAAAGTATAAAATATATTACAGTAGTCTCCGCCTAAACGCACGCCATACAAAACACGCTCCGCTCAAAAGCACGCTTTCGCCCTCTGACGGGTTTTTTACTATATAATTTAGACGTACAAATGCACGGTCACTCCCTCTAAACGCACACTCCGATCTGAGAAACACGCTGACAGGCAAAGCTTGACTAAGGGAAATTTCCACTACGACTACTGCACGATCTGCACAGCTTGCAAAATGCAAGCCTAGAAAACTGCGAGACTGCCCCTTACGCCGAACAAAGAGAGTGATGGACAGTGTTTTCACACACAACTTTCCACTGACACATAGGTCTAGGACTGGTCAGTGAAATATTAGGTTTCTGACCGGTGTTTGGGTGACTTCGTGTTGGTTGGCTAATGTTTAGTACAGTTTAGTTAGACCTAAACCTATGATGCGCAACGCGCGTGAATGCTCGTTCATGAATTTACGGTCGGGGAGGTCGCTTGGAAAGTCACGTGGCTGGGCCGCTGTCTCTATGACCATCACCAACAATTTCTGTTTAGGCTTGAATCTATTGGTTCCCGACATTTAAGGGTGCATTCATTACATCGAGTCTGTCCTTCTGCCCCCCACCCCCCACGCACACATACACACCCATTCAACGCATTCGCAGTAACCGCAGTCGGGGAATCTTTCACAAAACAGTCACGTGTCGTCACATTATCGGCCAAAGTGACCCCCACCCCAAAGGGAGGTAACTAGAATATCAAGGCAATGAGATGACTGCGTCCCTTCCTCCCCTTTGCTAAGGTTCATGTAAACGCACGCTCCTTATAAACACACGCTAAGGAGCCCTCCCAAGTACCGTGCATTTAGGCGGAGACTACTGTACCGTATTGTGTGTTTATTGTTACCCATACAGTGAAAAATTTTTCACTGGACATTCCTCGAGTGTTCTTGGCCAACAGCTGTCAGAGTAACTCTGGCAGGTGCTCTGGTGTGATTTGTTCCTTCTTTCCAATCAAACATCGACCATCCTTATCTATCATCCTTTGCTTTGTGTGCAAAGAGAAAATAGAATACCTAATTTTGTTTCTCTTCTATTTGAGCAACATTTCTAAACCACAAACACGGCTGAACTGAAGAAAATACGGCAGTCCCGTAGATTTCAACATTTAAGTTTAGTTTCAGTAAGAGTTTTACAGCGCCCACACTGCATGAAGTCATATGAGCTGAAGTGAAGACTCCACTGTATTTCAAATAGAAATTAAAAGTCAAGCATCTACCCTAACACAAGCGTTTCTTTCTTTCCCACCAACTCGCACTACCAAGGCCAAACAGACAAACTGGAAATGTCACAATGCAGAGGAATCAGGCGCTTATCAATTTTCGGGTATATACTGATATTGGTATCATCTTAAAGCTTGTTCATTTCTATTGCTTTCCATGAAAAAAAATACCATCTATCTTAAACAGAAGTCAAGATATTTGCAACTGAAGGAGGGAGGGGGGGGGTTCATCTGGTGTCAGAGGTTAAATTAGCCAGACAAAAGTCGCTAAATTTTGGTGACTCCTAAAGCTTGAGTGTCCTTGGAAGCTACAAGATTACATTTTTGTGCCTTTAATCAGAGTTTTTAAAGTCAAATTCAAACAAAAAATGTGTCTTTAAACGGACAAAAATGATGTTAAGTCTAAAAAAAGACAATATCTTAAATTTCCCAACAAGTAAAAAAAGGTGGGGTTTTTAAAATTTCATTATTTTGACGACACCTGATTTCCCCGCAATGCTACTCATATTTTACTCACTTTGAAGCCCCCGGCATTAGTCCAAGTCGCTCATGGTCACTTCTTGCGTTTTTTAACTTCTGTATCGCCTCGATCTGCTCTTTAGTGTAGCCTAGCTGCGTTGTGATTGGCTCACGCCTGCCTCCGTTCTCACACGTCTGCACGACGCCCTGAAACAATGCCTGACAGAAAAACAAAAACAGGAACAGAGTAGTAGTCATCAGAGCCACAGGAAAGGTTTATTGACATAATAATAGATAGCATTTGTATAGCGCAAATTCCCGCTCAACAGCAAGCTCTAAGCGCTTCACAATCTATACTATTACCTCAGCAGACCAGAGAGCATTCTGAAACAACCTCAACTTCCTGGGAAGCATACAGTGCAAGCAGCCATTTATAGGTGCTAAAACGTTAACATACTGACAAGATCTTTCACTGTCTATGGCCGGGTACCCATTCTCACCTGGGCGAATTGAAGAAAATTTGTGTAAAGTGCCTTTCCCAAGGACACAATGTCAGGCCCGTTGCTCAAACCCCCAAACACGCAACCTCAGGATTATGAGTCCGGTAGCCTAACCACTAGGCCACTGACGCCATCACTACAGACACCGAGAATACTGCAATAGCTGCTGTATCATACAACTGACTTGTAAGGATTCTTTTTTTTTACATTTACAGTCGAATCTGCTCTGGCGGCCACCTGTATAAATCAATAACCAGTACAGATGGTTCACTTCCCATCCCCCCCCCCCCCCACCCCACCCCAACTTTAAAAAATAAATAAATCTGAAAGTGTAAGACATGTCTAAGACGGCCAATTCTCTTCTCAACAATGGGTAGTCGTTTTTGAAAATTTTGATTGTATTTTAAAATGTTGAATCAAGAATGAAAATATCAAGCTGCTGGCATCAGTCAAACTTTCTCTATCAAGAATGAATCTGTGAAAGTTACTTAACTTAGTTAAATAAATTAAATTTTAAAACTGCAATCTTAGACAAATTTGAAAACCAAATTACGTAAAATTGCTGTAATGGTAGTTTTGTCAAAGTTGTCTGTCTATTAACAGTGTGATGTACCTATTGTTAAGAGAAAGTAACTGTGTGTGGTTGTGACCATTACATTATGTGAGTTATGTCCTTTATATCTGTGTGTATCACGAGACCATTAAGATGTGCTTTTCACGAATCACTCATGAACCACGGCAGCGCAGCTCAGAATAAACTCTCGAGCAAGTACCACGTGTCAGGTTGAAGATACGATAAACAGTGCCGTTGATTCTTCGAAGATAGATTCGATCTCTTTACCCTTCTTACCTCAAACATCTCATTGACCCCTTCACCAGACAGTGCGGACATCTCAAAGAAATGGAAGCCATGAGCGTCTGCCCACAGACGACCTTCAGACTCATCCACAGCACGACGAAGGTCAGTCTGAATAAGAGCAATGAACATACATATGTCAGTCACTGCAGCATAACTTGATCAGGGACAGCAAGCTATTAAAATTTTAAAAACTTTTAAATAATTTTTTTTTGGGGGGGGGGGGGGGGGAGAAGGGGGATGTAGAGTAATAATTGTATCCTTGCCACTATAATGCTGATAGTATGTGACTTATGAAAGACAGTAGAGCAATGAACTGTACAGGATGGTACAACAATGATCTTGCTATCACCTATGAAAATCAAAGTTGCTACAGTAGAACATACTTGACATGTATAAGAAGGGATAAGTGTGCATGTGAGTGTGTATATGTGTGCTTGTGCAGGTGTGTTTGTGTATTGTCTTTTACACGGCAGCGCAAAGGAAAAATTAAGGCTGAGGTGATCTGGTATGAAGCAGTTTAAAGGAGTGAAGTAATCATTCATGATGTATCTATAACCATGGACCCAAACTGAAAGTTAATTCTAGTGTTCTCTACAAGGAATCTTTGTATGTTTCATGCCACCTCTGACGCGGAAAAGATATAAAAAGAAAACTGGTATCCGCATATCCCATTTGCTAAAGATCTAGGTCTGCAATAATAACAATAGTAATACTAATTTAATGATAAAAATAACAATAATGACAATATAAACAGCAATAAAAATTACATTAACAATATTAACATTGAGAATAAAACTGTGAAAGTAATAATAATAATAATAACGGCAATAAAAACTGCGAGAACGCCTACCTTGTTGGCACACACACAAACGACAATACTGTCAGCCTCTGACTTGTTTGTTACTTCATTGCTCAGTTCTTCCATCCAGTAGTCCAAGGCCTCAAAACTCGCGCGACTCGAGACATCGTAGACCAAGATTGCTCCTTGAGTGTCTTTGTAGAACTCATTTCGAACCTTTGGGGTTTTATTGAAATAGATATATACATACTATAATGTATCTCAAACAAAGGATAAGAAAATTGTCAAAAGAATAAGAATATTGTCAAAAGCATTAAATATACACATCTCTTAAAAAAGTAGGAGAAAATTGTTAACAGCATTAAATATATGTACGCCTAGGCCTATAACTTATGCAGAACAGAACATTTTTGTAGCTGCTATATATAAATATAAGCATCAAATCTACACCTCTCGCATGGTTATTCGACCAAGACAAGAACATTGTTAATTAAAAGCATTAGATCTGTTCTTAACAGAACAGTGTATTTGTGAGGCACATTTTCTTTTTGACACTGTGCTGCTAAAGGTGACCTTCCTTGTGAAGTATTCAGATAAGCTTGTTTGTTTTAGTGAACAGAGGCATATCGACATGACCACTGCTACTTCATGCAAGGAAAAAGTAAGACAGACAAATAAAAACAGCATGAAGAAAAGAAAAAACAGCCTACCAGCAGTGTCTCCAACCACCTGCATAAGCATTTTTGAATTATTTAAGGTTGCAATGGTTTCAGCAACAATTCAGCTAAAAGGCACATGTTTTAAGAATAAAAAACCCTCCCCCCAAAAAAAAATTACATTAAAAAAATAAAATAAATGAATGAATGAATGAATGAATGAATGAATGAAAGAATGAATGAATAAATAATAATAAATTAATAAAAATAAATCCCACAAAATAACAAACAATGAAATTAACTTTGGTTATCATTTAACACACATGTCTTTAACTTATATATTTAAAAGCACACAATGATTATCAAGTGATGAAAATAAGGCATTCCATGACAAAAAAAACTTACCTCATAAAAGAGATGGTGCCCAGCCATGTCAAAGATATTGACTTTGATATCTCTTTCTTTTTGGGTCACTCTGGTCAAGAAGAATTGAATATATTTAAACAAATTCATTACAGTTATACTATTTCTTAATAACACATTAAAAAAGAAATCAACAGGCCAGAGCAATTCCTATAAATCTTAACACATGTGACCCTGGAAAGTATTAGTATGCTACTTTTTTGCTTCTCCAATTAGAACCAAAACAATTTTAAGACAAACCCATAACAATCCTAAGAGGCAGCATCTGAATTCGATTAGATGCAAACAATAATCATGTTTTGTCTTTTATGGAACATCTGTCACACATTTGAACATTCACATGCATCATCATCATCATCATCATTGCCTTTCTCACCCTGGATCAAGATGGGCCACGAACAAACACTTTCCACCATTTCCTATCCAGGGCTAGCCTCTTAATAATCCTGATAGACTTGTTTCACACAGAAGGTTTCAGGTCAGAAGAATCCTTTCGGCTTTATCAACTGTCCTTCATTATTCCTGCTGATGCAGAAACTCCTCTGTCTCCCAAGATCGAAACATAAACAGAAATGTTTGTTCGTGTTTCAGTAACTTTCAGTTTTTACAGAGTTGGCACTTTTTGGGAGACCAGACCAATGCATTTTTAGTTGTCTCTTACGACACAGTAACACGGCAGGCGTTATTCTTTGCTCCCCCATTGTGAAAAACTAGGGGGTCCCCACCTGAAGGGGCTTTTCACATTAACAGTAACTCCAAAACGTTATATCCACACCTATTATTTTCACACATTCACCTTCACCTATCTCGTAGACTGGATGTCCATCGGGTCGCTTTTGAAGATTTGGCCACTAGCCTCCTCCACTCCTTTCGGTCTTACCAAGGATTTTTCAGAAGCATCTCATCTCTACAGCTTTGATCCTTCTTTCAAGGTCCAGGTTTCACAGGCACAGGCAAACAGAATTATTGGCATGACCAGTGAAAGCATCAGATCTGATGGTGATATTTCTGTCAATCCAGATGGTTTTCAACTTGGTCATTGCTGCTGAAGTTTGCGCTATTCGGGAGTTTATATCTGGTTTTGATCCTTCGTCTGTCACTCTTGCACCCAGGTATTTGAAGCTGTATATGGTCTCAGGCCTCTGGATGTTGACTTGGATGTCCACTGTGATATTCTTGATGCTGTTAGACATCAGTTGGGTCTTCTCAGGGCTGATTTCCATGCTGTAGGCTGTGCAGGTCTTTTCAAGACAGTCTATCAAGTTGACTAGTTCTTGCTCTTGTCCAACAAAGCGTCTGTGTCATCTGCAAAACATAAGTTATTAATCGTTCTGCCACCAATACTGACTGCTCCTTCATGATCTTCAAGTGCATCTGTCATAATCCTCTCCCAGAAAAAGTTGAAAAGAGTGGGTGAAAGCAAACAACCCTGTCGTACTCCTGTTGTTCGGAACCATTCCCCAATGTTGCTGTTTAAAAAAAGACTGTGCTCATAGCTTTGTTGAATAGGTTTTCTATGACTTTGATCATGTTGGCGTTGATGTTGTATAAGTTCATGGTTGCCCACAAAGCTTCCTGTCATACTCTATCAAAAGCTTTTTTGAAGTCCACAAATACATGGTGATGCTCCTGTTGGTGTTGGAGGTACTTTTCCATGATGATTCTCAGGTTGAGTATTTGTTCATTTGCACTGCGCCCTGTCCTGAAGCATGCCTGTTTTTCTGCTATGATTTTCTCTGCTTGCGGCTTCAGTCTGTTGAGAATGACTTTCAGCATTACTTTACTAGGATGGCTGATCAAGATGATAGTACAACAGTTTTGATATTGTTGAAGACTGTCTTTCTTGGGAAGGGTGAACATCAAGGATTGAGTCCATGGTGTTGGCCATTCTCCTGTCTGCCAGATCTTGTTGTAGATTATCCATAGCATGTCTATCACCGCGTCTCCACCTGCTTGAACTAATTCAGCTGTAATGTTGTCTACTCCAGCTGATTTCCCTTTCTTCAGTGATGTGACTGCTGCCACTATCTCTTCTTTTAAGATATTGCTTTTGTCATTGTCTTGTGATTGAGAGACATTGAGCATTCTTGGATCTCCTCAGTTTTGTGGGTGTACAGTTCCGAGCAATATTCCATCTACCTATTTTGAATTTCTTGTTCCTCCGTTAGACATTTCCCTTCTCTACTTTGTATTGAAGTGGTCTGCCCTTGTTCGGTACTTGTGAGATCTTTTATGATTTGGTAAGCCTTTCTACTGTTGTTTTGATTCAGGCAGTCTTCAATTTCTTCACACTGTTCTTCAATCCACTTCTCCCTACATCCTCTCATTCCCTTTTTCACTTGCAGATTCGTCTCTCTGTATTCTTTTGCACCTTCTGGTTCCTTTTTCTTGTTCTTCAGAGCTCTTCGTTTGTCACATAGGTCAAGGATGTAACCCAGGGCTTCTTTTTCATGCGATGTTTTCCAAGGAGCTCGTTTACTGTTTTTGTTATGGCGATGTTGAAGGTGTTGGTAGGGGAGTCAACTTCTGTATCATCTTGATTTAGCGCTAGGAGTAGAGCAAACTCTCTTATGTTGCTTGAAAACATTCTAATATGGTTGGGTCTTTGAGTCTTTCAGGGTTGAACTTCATCCGGTTGTTGTCTTGTTTCCTGCACTTTTTAAGACCCAATGAGAATGTCATTATGGCAAGGTTGTGACCACAGCCGATACCTGCTCCTGGAAAACTTCTGGTCCTGGCAATATTGACACTGCTTTGAAAACGACGCTTGACCACGATGTAGTCTATCTGATGTAGATCTCTGCTTGACTGCACCACATCCATCTCCTTGATGCCTTATGAGGGCTGAAAGTGTTCATCAGCTTTAGGTCGTTATAGCTGGAAAGTTCCAGGAGCTGTAGACCTCTGTCGTTGATGTTGGTATTGCAGTAGGGTCCGCATATTCCTTCCCAGTCTTTCACTGCATCTTCCCAGATCTTAGTATTCCAGTCGTCTTGTACCACAAAATGATATCCTTCTTTGGTGTTTTGTCCAGTGCTTCTAGGAGTTGTATGTAGAAATCCTCCACTTCTTCATCGTCATGTGCAGTTGTTGGTGCATATATGCTAGGATGACAGTGATGTCGAATGGTGATATTTTCAAGCTTATGGCCATGAGTCAGGAGGGAACTAAACGGCAACCAAGATAGCATTCACGAGTCTTTTTGAATGAGTATTCCAACTCCATATTCATGGCGGTCTTTTCTGCCACTGTAGCATAGGTTATGCCCTTCTGGGGTTGATGTTTCTACGAAGTTCTTCCATCGTAACTCACAGTCCCAGAATGTTCCAACAGCATCTTTTCATTTCGTGTTCTAATTCCTCAACCGTCCCTGCTTCTCTCAAGGTTCTCACATTCCATGTGCCAATGACGATGTTTCGTCTGGAACATACACTTTTTGTAGGTCTTCCAGTACAAATAGAAAAACATCTACACATGATACTGCCCAACATACTCAGGCACAGTCTGATGTGCCCCCACCCAGCATACACACACAAACACACTCTCCAGCAACACAAACATCTGGTATATAAATACACATGTACACTGCACATGACAGATGACAAAAGAAACAAAACTTCAGACCACCACCATGTCATCACTCACTTTGTTACACCATAGTCAATACCGATCGTAGCCAAGTATTTGTTGACAAATCTTTTCTCGCAGTATCTTTTAATGATGCAGCTCTGGGGAGGGGGTTAAATTTTGAAATGATTGATGATAGGAATTAACCAGTCGATGCATCAAACATGTTATGGACATTTTACCTCACTTATGACATATACATATATATATATATGTGTGTGTGCCTACCGATTCTCTAGAGAAAGTGAAAGGATGGAGGAAAGCGACTTCGTGAGAGTATGCTAACAAAATAAAATCTGAATTTGAAATGACAGTAAATCTGATTAAATTTGACATTGGCCCTATTTCTAAGATGAAAAACTGCAGTATTTAAAGCTACTTAGTTTCTAAACACTTACTGTTGTTACCACTTCTGACTTTGAGTAGGAATGATATTTCCAAATATAATCTAATAATAATATTCAAGACAGTTCATCACCACAAGCATCTCAGTTTCGGCTGCTTTCTTTCCCAGACAAAATTAAATCTGAATTGCAAGAACTCCGAAAAAAGGGAATGTACAAACAAAAGGCCTGTAAAGTGAAAATGACATAAAGTAGCTAATCATTCTACCTCATTCTATTAACATGATGATCATTTTAAAATTAAAAGTTCTGAGATAAAAGCAAACAATCAATTTACATGAATCTTTGCTGCCTAGACTAATCAGACAAACTCATCCCGTTAGATATTAAATTGCGTACTACTGAGCAGCAGAATTGAATCTACCAATTGAATGTGCCACTGCCCCCCCCCCCCCCCCCCCCCCCCCCCCCCCCCCCCCCCCCCCAACCACCACAGCAAAAAACTGGATAACAGAAACTTACTTTTTTCTCAAAGAAGAAAGAAAGTGAAACTTAATAGGATAAGTTCAGACAGATACCATGGAGGTGGATTAAGAACCCAGTTCATATTAACATGACCTCAGAAATGTCAAATTACAAACCAACTTTATAGCCCAAGGAAGAGTTGTCTCAGTGACACACAGAATAAGGCTTTTAAAGGCTGACTTAGTAAGACTTGGACAGAACATGGGATTAGCATGAGAAGAAGGCCCAGAACAGTACATTGTACGGAACACCTTATTTGTAGCTTACTCAGCTCCTTTTGGGAAAAAAAAGGATGAATATATTCAATGAAAGATCAAGAAAAGGTCATTCAATATTTATTTAGGGCATATTAGCCTTTAGGGGTTAGTAAAATACTCACCTTCCCAACTTCAGCATTCCCCATACTGATAATTTTGACCCGCAATGCTGGCTTTCCTTTCGGTACTTTTGCTGAATGAGACATTTTGAGAGTGAACTTTATTCACCCAGGAAGGCTGTCCCAGAGGTGTACCAGCACAGCACAGACTTAGAACACACTTGAAAGGTTCACAATCACCAGTCTCCAAGTAAAACTGAGTAAAAAGGCGAAATACAGAGATATGACTGCTGCTACTTCATGATTTCGTAGTGCACAGTCACATTGTAGTTTAATTGTTGTTGACTACTTCACTCCTAGCCTACTCATGGGCTATATATTTAAGGCCGTCTATTTCTCCGAACGCTTGGGAAAAATAAACTTGAACTTTATTTCTCCGAGCAGTTTCTGTTCTTGAGATTTTTTGGTTAGGCCTGTTTGCGAATGGAGTGACCTGCGCGCGCGTGTGTGTGTGTGTGTGTGTGTGTGTAAGGTGTGAACGGGGTTGGGGGGTGGGGAGGGGGGAGGGGGAGGGGGGTGTGGAAGTTTTTAAAAATAACTTTTTAGTCTCTGCTTTACGGGTGACTAAATGCAAAATAGGTTACTGCCAAAGTCGAGCAGTCTTGTTTCCTCGCAGTGCCTTTTGAAGGCATTTTCAAAAGAAGTATAGTACAGGAATGTTGCCCCAACCACAGTGGAAGTATCTGAATATTTAAACATCTAAAAATCTCTTGCTCTAGAAATTGAATTCGATGCAAAAAATGCTTCTTCCCAGACCAGTCCTCGTAGAATGGCAGAGTGAAAGATGACGCCAAACTCTCGCAAATAACCAAAATAATCTCGAGAACGGAAACCGTTCGGTGAAATAGGGCCTACAGATCAGGTTTATTTTCTTGAGCGTTCGGAGAAATAGTCACTTTGTATATTTTAGGCTTTCGAAGCAAGTAGATCTAGATCTAGATCTAGACATACATTCATATATGTATATCTAGAGATCTAGATCTAGAATCTAGTAAAAACCCTCGTCTGACAAAATCGACACTGAAATAATTGCAAAACTGTGTCAGTGTTGTATCTTATACTTTTACAGCAAACTAAAACATAACGATTAAAATGCCATTCATTATCATAATTGTGCCCATCCTAATCATCACACTGACACTTGTCATTGGCATTGTCACCAGTCGAGTAACGATACCAACAAGTGTAATTAACTTACTTTCATTTGATAAATTGAAGTCTCAGATTTGAAATGTTGGTTTCATTCTATATATCTTTTTTCCAAATCTTGTTTCTGAAAACATTCCACGCTGATAAATTCATCGTTAACAAACATTTAGCGAGCATTTTGATGCGGGAGCCGAACGTGTTCACATCATGAAGTATGCGGAGTCGGCCATCTTGTAAACAAAGCAGCTTCGGAGTAACGGATCAGACTGTCAACCATTGGTCGAAAAAATTTTCATTGGTGACCATTCATAAATTAGACAGACTGCAGACTGCAGCCTATTAAGCTGTTTTCGTCCTCTCTCTCTCTTTCATCGCAGAGTTAAACATTATTAAATAAATATTCCCCCCCCCCCCCCCCCAAGTGTTATTCAGACCACAAAAATAAGTACAAAACCGACCGATGGCACTTTACTTTGTGTTTATACAACTTTTCGCAGGTAACATATCTTTCACCAGTAGAATGCAAGCTCAACTGGGGCATTTAGGCCGGAATAAAAGCAACTGCGCATGATCGCTGATATCAATATTATTATAACGTCGAAGTGTTAAGTTAAATTTGTGCATGTCACTCCACGTCACAATCACATTGTCATTCTTTTATTCCTATTATTTTTTTTCTATTCGTCAAAATATTTAGGACTATAAATCAGCGCTCATATGACCTTATGCAGTTGCGAGCTCTGTAAAACCTTACTTTAAAACAAAACAAAACAATTACACTAAATGGTACCGGTACTTTTTTTTCAAAGGCTGGCAACGGTGGTTTGACCTTCTAGATCTACAGACAGTCGAACATAAAATTAATTAATTCACAAAGTTATTATTTTTCGGTCGCGTCCTGAGTCAAGAGCGACTTCTGAGATTAGAGCAAGTCGTTGATGACATTTTCCATTGCGTTCACGAAAGTTTTGTTTTGTTTCATATCTTACTTACTTCACTTACTTACTTTACCTTCCTCTTGTGCCTTCCGTTGTCGTGGGAAGAAAGAACTTTCTGTCTCTTGCAAGCTAGATGGCCTGGTTGGGTGGGATATTCTGTGTTTTCAAGGTATCCTTTACACCCTCGATGCGGGTCTTCCTTGGTCTTCCTTGATCTCCCTCTTGCCATGTACCCTGAATATTTCTTTGTAATAATACGTTTATAAACTGGTGATCCAATTGTTTTGTCAGATGTCCTAACCACATGTGATTGTTTGCCTCTGCATGTGGCGAAGGACAGGCGAATAGTGTTGTTCCCATCATTTTTCTGATCCTGTTGTTCTGATCATGTCCCATCTGTTGGTGTTTTTAGTAGGGTTGTTTTTTTACGGCTCTCCTTAGACATCTCATATTGCAGGGGGGTTATCTTACA